CAAAACCCCAAAACCCCAAAACCCCATTCGTAAAGATTGAATAAATATGAGGACAATGTATTCTAAAATTAATAATAATTCACGAATGCTATTTTATACTTATTTCAAATTAAATAATTTGCAAAAAGTCTAAGAAGTCATATCTAACAATTTTAACAAGTATAACTTTATTTTTCAATTTAGAGAAATGCCTTATCAAATGCATTTACTCTGAATAAAATAAATTTAGATAACTTTTGCTTGAAATTTAAGTACTCAGATTGGTATAAGTAATTTCTAGATAGAGTTTGGTCTTACTTTATATATCTAGAAATTTTTACTTTCGTAAATTATTATTAAGTGTAAGTTTAATTAAAAATAAATATTATTATGAGAAGTTAAGTGAATAACAGTCTTAATTAAAATGAAAGTTTACATAAGTTTACTTATGAATTAATATTTTAGCTTACTCAATCTAGAGAGAAAAAACCCTCTTGCTACTTCAAGCTTTCAGCATATTCAGAGTTCTGGAATTGTAGAGTCATCTCCAATCTTGGATATACACACTGAGTAGAATTTATCATATGAAGCAAAGTAAGTTGAGAGATCTTCAGAATTATTGTCAAGCCCAATTTATTAAGTTTTAATATAACTTTCTAAATACTAGAGCTGCAGCTTTGTCAATTTTGGAAGATACTAAATATAAACCTAATATTATTCTGTCCATTACTTAACCTCCATTTAGCAAAACTCACTTGCATCTACACTTTCAGAATATCCATAATCATATCTAGCAGAATAGAAGATTTTTTCAAAGGTATTAATGTTATTTTTTGCTGAATTGTACTCTTCTTCTTTAGGCATTGAAAAAAGAGTTTGGTCAGGAATTATGTCCGCATATGGAAATTGGACATCATAATAACTGGAAACATAAGTCTATATTAAGTCAAAAGCCCCTCCTTTTACCCCGTACTTTTAAATGTATTCCTCTACTATGCTAATGTCATCACCATACCCCCATGCAATACTTTCATATTCTAAATCAACTAATGGTGCATTTTAAAGTTTTGACAGGAAATTTTTATAAGATATACCTGTATCAAGTATATCTTAAAAGTTAAACCAGATGTCGTGATTCATTTAGAAACTTTCTTATACTGCCTTTTAAAGGAGATATTTTGTATAGTTTTCATACTTCCAAAATATAGCCTATTTCTCAGTTGAATATTTACTCAAATCCAAAAGTTTAATAGAATTCTATTTTTGCATTGTTTCAGAATCCTTTGGTAGGATTTAAGCTGATTAATTTGTGCAGAACTTCTACACAGTACAATTTGCATTACCATTGACATTGAGAATTATATCTCCCTAACCTGATCCATTGAATGATCCTCCTTGAATTTCAAGCTCTAGCTTAAGAAGAACAGAAGGAGAATTCTGTAATAACTTTCTCTATTGCAAACAAAATGCTTGATCTGAAGTGATTGAAATCAAAAGAAATAAGGCTGTGCCTTAAAGATATTTTAAAAACATTTAATACTTTAAGTATAATCAATTCAATTATTTAAGTATTGAAACAATCCAATTAGAAAAGTTTAGTTTGTATTCGTAAATTATTTTATTTATTTCCAAGTTATTCAATGTACAAATTTGAACAGCGGGGTTTTGGGGTTTTGGGGTTTTGGGGTTTTGGGG